AGTCTGGAAGTGTATCTGTGTGCCAGTTAAAATTTGCCGTAAGTGTAGTAAAAGTCACCACAGTACAGTAGAGAGAGACTGCAAGTGATCTATCCTGATTCCTTGAGCAGCACCTCAGATTCCATTATGGATGAGGAACTATTGTGGTGTATGCTGGATCTCTGCCCTGATGGCCTTAAGGGTCATGGGCCCAGCAGGCTCAAAATAATTCACCCTCCCCTTCAGCAGTCTCTGCAGCTTGTAGCTGGGGACTCCATACAGCTGCCTTCCATCTCCAATGCTTCCAAAGCACTGGAGGGGCCCAGTGGACTAGATATTTGCCCATACTGTCCCACACACCCTGCCACTCATGGCTGTCCAGCCTTGGGGGAAACCTCTTGGTCCTCCCATATCGTCGTCTAACCCCAGACAAGACCCAAACCCGACTCTGCTTAACTTTTGAGATCAGACAAAGTGGTGGTGGGTAAAACACAGTCTATGTGTGTGCCAACATGCTGATCCCCATCACAGTCAGCAGGCAGGTCCCAAGGGTACCCAAAGGCCATCCAAAACCTTCAGAACTCTCAAGTGATGCTGCTGTACTTGTCACTGGGGCTGGTGTAGCTGCTGTGCTTGCCGGCTCTCCCACCACCAGCTTCTCTTTTCCTGAGTCCAGATCTTCCTCCTCTGCCTTGCTGGGAAATGCTGCGGGGTCTCCTGCGTCCTCCTGGGGCTCGGCGGGCGGCTTCCGGGGAATGCTCTCGGCCGTCGCGGGGCTGAGCTCGGCCGCGGGGCTCGGCTCCTCTGCCGCCTTCTCCCGCTGCTCGGCAGCCGCCTCCTCCCGCTCCTCAACCACCTCGACCTCCTCCACCGGCAGCCGCTCCCTGCCTGTCTCCGGTCCCGCTCTCGCTTGGTCCCCGGGACCGCTCTCCCGGGTCGCTTCAGCAGCTGCCGTCTCCCGGGGCCACTCCCCCTCGGCTTCCCAGAGCCTCATGCAGACAGAGGAAAGCGAGGGCCAGGATGGTGAGAAGCAGCTGGACGGCCAGGTACCAGTCCATGGCCACGTCCGTCCCGCCCTGCTGCTGGAGCCTGCCCATATTACAAGTCATTGCCATAAAGTACATTGAGACAGGAACCTTAGCCCAAGCCCCACATTTGATAAACACTAACACAGCAAATACCAGCTCTAAGTAAGTTACAACATTCTGAAGCTGTGAGATCAAGAGGAACAACTCTGAGAGCCAATAAATCAGCATTGTGACGAGTGACTGTTAATCCAGTCAGATCTGTCGTTATCTCAACACCTTCGTGCCCCATGTTGGGCGCCAAAAAGAACTGTCGTGGTTTAACCCCAACCAGACAGCTTTCACTCACTCACTCCCCCCCTTTCTTGCCCTCCCCTATTCTCGGAGGGACGGAGAGGAGAATCAAAAAGAATGCAACTCTCACAGGTTGAGATAAGAACAGTTTAGTAACTAAGGTATAACACAGGTCACTACTGCTACCACCAATAATAGTAATGATAAAGGAAATAACAAGGGAAGAGAATACAACACCTCATCACCAGCCGACCGATAACTCGCCCCCCAGCCCGACCAAGCACCAACCGATACCTCCTCCAACCCTGCAGGTTCCCTAGCCCTTCCGGGTAACTCCTGGTTACATCCTGGGCATGACGTGCTGTGGTATGGAATACCTCTTTGGTCACTTTGGGTCAGGTGTCCTGTCTCTGCTTCCTCCCGCCTTCCCCTCCTCCCTGGCAGAGCATGAGGCTCACAAAGTCCTTGGTCAAACCAAAACATCGTTTTTATCAGCTCTGTTCCCAGCCTGAAAGTCAAAACACAGCACTGCACCAGCTACCAAGAAGGAGAAAAATGACTGCTGCTGCTAAACCCAGGACACAAATGAAAAAACAGTACCAGAAGGATCTGTAAGATACAGAGAGAAACTCTTCAGGAAGCTAAAATGAGACATTTATTTTCGAGATTTCATCTATTAAGCTTTACAATTTGTGCTTGACCTAGTTTCCCAGCTACGTCAAAATTGTATTTATCTTGTAAAGCCTACCAAAATGCAATATAACCTCCAAGCAAAGCTGCAAACATTCTTTCTTCTTTGAGAATGGAGAGGTGATATATTTGGAAGACTGACTTATTTTTGAAGGTGCCTGTCAACTCGCACAAGGCAGGTAGTTCTCTAAAACTAAAGTGAGTACATTTGCCTCAACATAAGAAAAAGTAAAATGGCTTTTAATGCTCAAAATACCTTCTTTTCCTTGGTAACTTTCTATCCTCAAAAATGCAGAATAGTCAGCCAAATTAGGGTGGAGTATGGAGACATGACAAAATAAGCACAGATAAGAGGTGGAAAAGCAGGTTACGTGAAGAAAGGATGAGGAGGAATAGGAAGTGGAGTTGAAGGGGAAGAAATCTGAGTGGGAGGGAAGTTAAAATGTTTGCCTCTTAACATTTCCTGGTCTTCATGTGAATTCCTGTTTTGAGGACTTTAAAGCTACCCAGCAGGCACTGGGAATAAAATAAAGCAAACCGAACAAAACACACACAAAACCCCCTAAAATCCATACCTAACTTCTTCCCATTCTGTACACCTCCAGAAAAGTCAAAGACTGTGGGACATGAAGAGCTCTTTTTACTATTCAGTTACATCTATACTTAATTTAGGCAAGACCTCATTCTCATATATGTATTTAAGATGCTTTAGAAACTCAGACGTCTTATGAAAATATTAATTGTTCTATCTTCTTCCCTTTGAGGTCATCTACTCAGAAGGGCTGAGATGTGCTACCTAATCCATATCCATAGTTAGGCTAAAGAGTTTAGACTACTAAAGAAGTCACAGTTTTGCCAGTCCCACGCTCACACAACATGATAAAAGAAATTTTTACAAAACCATCAGAATTTATTATAACTTGGGATGTGCTTCAAGCTAAACATTTTGGAATACTGTAGTTCTCCCGTATTTCCTAGTTGCTGGATGTTTCTGCTTCGTACGAGACTTCTTGCAATTGTAGATTAGCATTGACATGTCTTATTTTTTCTGGGTACTGAATTTTGAAAGGAGCTTGAAAGATTTTGATAAATGCTTGGACATCAGATAAATAGAGAACTTCTCAGAAAAAGAGGAACTAACATCCCAGCAATATCTTAACAACAGTTAAAATAGATCAACAGATTAAGCTGTAAGTGCAGTGACTGCATATATGTGGTCTAGAAGGTGCAACTAGAAAATCTGAGAACTTTGTACTGCCCTTATACATTGGTTTTGTTCTTCAGAGATGATTAATCCATGCTTTTTCATCAGCATGTGCAAAGTCAAATGAAGCACTTAATACCATGTTTAAACTTGGCTAACAGCCCTCAACTGGTCATGCAGTTTGAACTAGATGACTGCTGTAGGTGTCTTCCAGCTGAAATAATCTGTTCAAATAGGCAAGTCTGTAATTGGAATAGTATGAGTAGGCCTTCGCAATGTACTTCTGCAATGCATCCAAGGATTCTTCAAGATGAATATGTGTTTACATTATATACTGGCTGTTAACAGAGCTTGTATAAACTTGAACTGTTTAACTAGGCTGCAGTTTTTGTCTCCGTGAAGATATATATTAAAGTTCAGGTTGCAGGCTGCCAGTAAGTCAACGACAATTCTGTGTGAACACAGAAGTACACATACAACCTCATAAAATACTGCAGACTGATGAGCCATAGTCTTCTAGACGGTTGAAGAACTGCCGGTTTTATGAAAAAGCCTTTAGAAATTTTTTTTCCTGTATTTTTTTTATTTCACATTTAGCTTAATAAAGACTAGCCTTTTCAATCAGATCACAAAAATGATCCTGAAGTGCTTATGTTAAGTATGTACTTTTTGCCTCATTTTCATTCCCCTATTTCATTAAGCACTTAGATAACCCCTTTTCCAATCCTTCAAAAGCTAGGTTGGATATTATCAACCCTGGTCTCCGCATGCTTAAGGCAAGCGCAAGAAAATAGTCCCTCACAGGACCTAATAATTACGAAATGCTACAGTGGAAATGAAGGTACTGCAAGCAGACTGTATTTAAGCATGTTTTGTTTTATTTCTTTTTTCCCCCACCAACTGGTTTAGTTTAATGTGGTAGCAAACCAGCAGTGGGGTAAATGAAACTTTCACTTTTAAACAGCAAGGAGAACACCAGGTAGCAGTTCACACTGCATCAATTATGATGACCCAAAAGGCAGCCAAGCTGGTCAAACTTTTCTTCTCATTTAGCCTCTAATTGAAGCAGTACTTCAGGGAAATCTAATACCATCAGGCTCCTCGAAAGTCACTTGGAAAAGATGCAAGAGAAGTCTGACACATCTTCCTGGGTTGAAAAGCTCAGTAGGGTATTGTCTTGAGAGATGGTATATTTCAGTGAAGAGAGGCCACGATCTTTGTACAGAGACCTGTATTTGAGTGCTTCTAGGCTATTATTTAATACAGCCAAAGGCGTCAGTAGAGTCATAGAATACTAGCTTAGAAGAAACCTCAAGGATCCAACCTTTAAAAACACTTTTGATGAAAAAGGTAATCACGGATGATTCAAAACCACCTTCCACCACTAAACCAACAGCAAATCCATGTCTTCCCCTGGAGAAACATGGGGACAGAGAACATGATTTTGGCTAAAGGCTGAGAGGAAAGGAGTATTTGAAAACACTTCTATTTCTCTCCCTGCGTTATTACCTAATATGCTTGTTCCTCCACACTTCGGTGCTTCACAGACTTACTCCGAAGCTATGCACCACTGCTCCAGCACTAGATGAGAACAAAAGAGTTTTGTCATGATATACCTGAATGAAATGTGTGGTATTAGTTGAGTTGAAAACGGTGCAAATAAGGATGTGGCAGAGTGCCTGAAAGACTAGCAGTTTTCAGTGTCACGGCGAGTCATGCGCTTTTCCACAGGGCCATAGCAAGAGGGCGGGAGCTACGAGGGCGGAACTACACTTCCCGGCAGGCCGCAGGGGCGGAGAGAGGTGAGGGTGATCTGTTGACGGCGGAGGTGGGGTAGCGTGAAGGCGGTCGCTTCCCGGAGCCCGGCGCCGCGGCCATTGGCAAGGCGTGGGCGGTGCTGCCATGGCGCTGTCGGCGGCGCCCCTTAAGGTCTGCATCGTGGGCTCGGGGAACTGGTGAGTGCTGAGAGGGCTGACACCTCAGCGGCGGCCCCAGCCCACCCTTCCCCAACGCTGTGCCCGCCCGGGCCTTGCTGTCGCTTCCCGCCCCGTGCCGTCGTGCCCCTGCCCGCAGCTCGAGGATTTCGCGTCGTGGCCGCGCTCTACTCGGGGGTGGAGGTGGCCCCGGGTGCTGGTGGTGAAACGTGGTGTCTCCGGTATCTGCCAGTGGGGCTGGGTCTGTGGCTGTGACATACGGGGTGGCTTCTCCAGCCCTGGGTATCCCTCAGAGGCAGTGGAATTGCCCTGAAGTAAACGAAAGAAGAAGCGGCAGAATCGAGCGCCCTGTTTTGGCGTGCTTGTAGGCACTTGTCTGCTCATTGAAGAAGTTAGGTTGGGTTGTTTCTAGCCTGGTGTTTGTTGTGTGGTTTATGCGGTGTTAGGTGATGTAAACATTAAAGATGCTGAATGTGTTTTTAATGTCCATTTCAGCAGCTTAGTACTGTCTGTAGGGCTCTGTAGCACGTCTACTTAGCTCCAGAAGTGGTTTTCCCATCTTAGTGTTTCCCAGGGTAGCTCAAAGAAGGGTTGTAAAACTATTAAGTTATTTGAGGTATGTTTTCCTTTTCAAGTTGATTGTGCTGAGGCGCAGTGAAGGCTTTAGACATGCCTTTACTGCTGCACCCATCACTAATTTATAATTAGACTTAAATAAACTCAGTCTTGTGTTCACTGAAAGTGATGGGTTTACTAATAATCTCAGAAGTTCACACATTAACCATCATTTGTCTTGTCTTCAATTTTTATACAATTCATCGCCACTGTTTTTACCCTGCATCCCTATTTACAATGTATAAGGCAACTGCAATCTATTACATAAATGTATATTCACAGTTGGTCACTTCAAGCACTAAGCATGTGTTATTTCTGATAACGTTGTTTTTTAAGACATTAAATCTAAACTGGGGGGAATTTGGTGTAGAGCAAGGTATTGTGTTTTATTAAACCAGACTTACTAGTGTTCTGTGAGGGTGACCATGGACTTGTTGCTCACTCTCTGCTCCCTCCATCCAGTTAGCTTTTGGTGCTGTTTTGCAATTACAGCCTGGCAGCTGCTGCTATTTTTGTTTTGTGAGGGCTTGCTGAGGGAATGGCTGATGTTTTAGCGCAGCATCTCCTGCTTGCTTTGCACTAGTTTGTAAAACAAACGGGGAGATACTGTGCATTGCAGTGTGTGTCAGAAGGAAAGTACGCAATTAACCCTGTCTGGTTTTTGGGAGTAGTGTTGCTGTTCTTTCATACTCGAGATCTAGCAAAGAATTTTTACGAGAAGTTTGACTGCATTTATATTTGTTTCATTGCGAAACACACTTGCATAAGCAGAAGGATTTGTAGATATTACCTAGTAGCGATAACCACGTGCATATATATTTTGTTTTCAGCTTATTGGATCAGTTTAACTGATCCAAGAAAAGTTCAGGCCTAATGGGATGGATGTTTGGGTGGCAAAATGCCTGTATCTATGATGCTGAGAGAAAGAGATAATGCCATTATGGGGCATCATCTTTTTTCTTCTTAGGGGGATGAATGTATTCAAATAACTTATAGCTTATTTCATATGTGATAGCATTGTGGCAGGAAAGCAGAAACCAAAATAATTTGAAAAACCCTAAATTGCAAATTATTTGATGTGCAACAGCTTTCTCATCTCCTGCTCTTCCTCCCTCAAAAAATAAGTTTCTGAAAACAGTAATTATTGGAGAGGTAGGTGATTTCTTCCTCAAAGTCCAAGGGATGACAGACGCCAAACCCTGACTGCGAAGAGCACTGTGATTCGATAATACATGCAACCGTTGAACTAAATCTGTGTTGTATACCTGTGTGCATGTAAGTGCCTTTTCGAACTGGGGCCTGTGGTCTTAAAATGAAAGCATTTAAAGCTCAAAAACAGGTAAATGGAAAGAAACTGAAGCATTCATATACATCTGATCATTGATATTTTGGAGTTATGTATTTTCGAAGATTGAATTACAGAAGTGTGTGCCAGGTGCTAAATTGTGAGCATGTAAGTAGTTGAACTGGGTGGGGTTTGGCATCTTGTAGCAGTTTGGAGACCGTGGGGTTCTGTGTGAGTCCCACAAGTGCCAGTAGCTGTAGGTCTTTGCCTTCTCACAGCACTTTAACCTCTACCTGGGATGAAAAAAAACGTGAAAGGAGCTTGGCAGGATGGAAACCATTTAGAAGGGTTGAGCCAATCACCTTGGATGATAAACTCCTTCCAGTCAGACTGGTTTCGTAGGTTCGCTAGAGGGAAGGTCACCTTAACAATGAAGTTGACTTGGCAGGGGTCACTCAGCACCTGTTGGAAAATTGTGATCATGGGACAGGGATAAGACAGGTTGCTTGCAAGGCAGGGAAGAGCAGGAGCTATGCTATTTGCTGGCCTTGCCCACTTAGGGTTACTCAGCTGCTGGGTAAGTAATTGTATTGGGATTGTTAAGATAGGGGATAAAATAAGCTTTCATGAACGTGAAGAGAGCACGCCTTGGGAATATGCCTTGGAGACTCAGGATTTAGGGCAGTGCCCAGATTCAGCAAAAGCTGCCTCAGACATGTACTATAGCCCACTTTTCTGATAACTCTTCCAGGGCAAGTAAACAAAGTGTGCACAGCAGGAATTTATCCCTGTCTTTTGCTGGAACCAGTTGTTAATTAATCTGATTGCCTAACTTGAACAGAAAGAGTTTGGAATGAGAAGGGAAGCTACTGGGACACGAGTCCCTACAGCTAGAAACTTGCTGTAGAAAAATTGGAGGTAAAACTTTTACAGGGGGGAGTGGTGTAGAGCTAGAACTAATGATATTGTTTGCACTTTTATATTGTAACCTCCACTGATTCTGGTATCAGGGCAAGTTTAGGAGTTCCTGGATTCTGGGCTTTACTTTTAAAGTGATGAGGAGAAAGCAGACCAACTGAGATACACTGAAACAGTGAAGGGTGGGAGACAAAGTGAGTGGCCTTCCTCAGCGAGCATCAGATACAGTTCTTCGGAGGTGTTAAATAAATGTATGTGATTGTATTTGGGCATAGGAAAAGAACTGCTGTTGAATAGCATTAACCATCCTTCAGAGCATGTCAGGGTTAAGACTGGTGAGGGAATCTTCCACTATGGTTTTTCTTGTGTAACTGCACTGTTGCAGGCACCAGGTCTCATAGCCTAGCTCACACCTGTTCCTTTGGCTCGTGTCAGGAGTATACAAGATAGGCCATATATTCCAGTATGTTATTTCAGAGTGAACACTGAGTATTTGTGGCACTGAAGAGAATACAGGCTTGCTTGTTGAATTAACAGGTGTGGGAAGCTGGTATTTCACCTTACACAGAGCTATTTTGCACTTGGTGACAGTTGTTTCACCTTGCTTAATTCAGTTCTACAGCAGTTGTTGCAACATAACATGAAATGAAGAGCCAGATAAGCCAGTCAGGAGAATCTTCTTGAATTCAGGAACTGAAAGTAAATCTTTGCTACAATACTATGTTCACAGGCTGAAAAAAAGACAGCTTGAGGCATTCAAGTGTTAAATAGTAATGGAATTAATGTCCCTTTCAAGTAGTACACACTGCCAAACTTTATGCTGGCAAGCAGTTTCAAAATCCCAGTTGGACAGTTGCTGAATCAGTCCTATCTATCAACATTAAGCACATGGAATGTGAAGTTCAAAACTGAAGACAGTGATTTGCCAGGATCCAGACTTTGTATATAAATATGCAGTAGTAAACATGCTTTTTGTTCAAGGAACTCAAACAGCTTTCTGAGGAGCAAGTACCTGTGTTGTGTTGAATGAGATTCATACTGTTTGTGTGGATCTGAAATTTGGGGATGAGCTGGTGAGTTGTCTATCATTGCAGCGGAAACCACTCTGTGTGCATGCAGACCTAGAATAAGAGCTTGATAAGAGATGGTTGACAACTGTGGCTTCTGTATCACTTCAGAACCCAGGGGAATTTGTAGTGTGTGAAGCACTGTTAGAGAAACAAACTCCAGTCTCTTAAGACATACGGTTTTCTGGTTTAACTGAAGGTCTGCTTAAGATACATACTGTAATCATTTTCTGCCATGACTTAGAAAGTGACCTTAGGCCTGCAATAGCACACATTTTGAATACAGCACAATGAGTTGTGCCATACTAAAAGCTCCTGGAGCGGAATGAATCTGGTTGGTTTAGTTGCCAGCTACGAGTTTATTACAAGCAATATCCATAATAAATTTAGGGGAGTATGTAAGTATCACTAGATTGGAAAAGTTCAAGTGTCCTTACCTCCTAATAAAGTATGCATTTCCACAAACATACATATAAGACTTAGATTGGTGACTCTGTATTTTTATTGCATCTTTCTAAATTATTTTTGTCTGTTTAGTAGGTTATTAGTAATTATAGAGCCACCTTTTTGTCCCAGGAAAGGAAGTTAGGTTAAGAGGTTTGCTAAATGTCATCTTTTTCTTTCACACAACATTCAGGCTAGAAAGGGGATTGCTTTAGGTGCTCTGCATGTATGTAGCTTCAGTAATTCTGATTGATATCATCATTGTTTAGAAATTTGAGCAATGGAATTGATCCTTGTCCTACAGGTTTCACTGTGTGCTGTTCCTGGGGAGGAAATGGGGCTAACTTAACAGTAATGGAATTGCCTGCAAATTCAGAGGATGCTGTTGCAACAGTTAAATTCTGTGAGGCTGGCAGGATAACCATAAAGCTTATAAGTTATGCAGGATAGAAAAGCTTCTTGGCTTTTAAATGCATGTCAGTATTGCACAGCAACTGCTGAGTCAGTCACCTTAGCAAAGAAAGCTTCCAGTTCCTTAAAGGTAAAAATTAACTTCTTTTTTTTTTTTTTTTTTTTTCCCAATTACGTATGTCACTTTTACCACTGCTTTGAAGATATAATCCATTTGATTTGTGGAAACACAGGAACCCAAACTCTGACTGGATAGCCAGTAAGCAGGCAAAATAAGTAAGGATATTTTCAATAAATGTTTCAGTCCAACCTGCACTAGGTAGACTTGAGAGGGAGCAGCACATGTGAATGACTAGTGTACTTTTCCACTTGTTTTACTAGGTCAAAGTGCTGTGAGTTTCTGTTAATTTTAAAGACAATCTCTTTCTTTTAGAGCAAAATCATAACTTTATTAGAATATTTTTGTTTCCTGCAGGGGTTCTGCAGTTGCCAAAATCATAGGCAATAATGTAAAAAAACTGCAGAAGTTTGCTTCCACGGTGAAGATGTGGGTCTTCGAGGAGACTATTAATGGGAGAAAACTGACAGAGATCATAAATAATGACCATGAAAATGTAAAATACCTCCCTGGATACAAGCTTCCAGATAATGTGGTAAGGCTCAGAAGCTAAATTCTAGTTATGGAGCAGAGGGGATATTGCTCTTGCTGTGAATGGAGGTAGAAAGTTGTTTTGCTAACACCTTTAGGGATTATAATACTTGAGACTGCATGCTATTTTACTGATGAGATCAAAGATTTGAACAAGTAAAATTCTGCAATTGTGCAGGTAGGCAAATCCAATGCACTGTACTCTATATTATTATTATTATTATTTCTTATTTTTTCCCAGTATCACTATTTCATTTATTTACTTCAGCTTCTGTACAGGAAAGCAAAAGAAGCACAATAACAAGCTCTGATCGTACCTAGTACAAAAAATAAATTGGCCTTGGCACTGGAAGGGTGCTGGCTGGTCAGTGATAATTGAAGAGGATTTAAAACACTCTACAATCATTAGGGAGTATTACAGAAGGAGAACTACGAGTATTGCTCAAGCAGACTGCAAAGCATTTGCAGTTTATCTGGTTCTCAGTTGAGCTTCAGCTATGCGCAGCCATATCAGAGTGTTAGATGTGGCATTGCTGGGGCAGGACACTGGGTCTCTGCATCTATTCTTTGTTGGTGTAGCATGATGGTCAGTGGGCAGTTGGTGACTCTTGGTGTTACTGAATTGTCAGCTGCTACAGCCTTTTCCTATAGAGATTTTGGGCAGGAAAAATGCGAATTGCTGTGCACTGCAGATTTCACTTTAACAATAATGCTGAAATGCCATTTCCCAGAAGCGGTGTTTCTGCTGCCCACTTTCTGCTCATTCAGGTTTAATCTCTTTTATCAGTTTGTAGAGCTTATTGATGAATTTTAAACCTGTTATTTTAAAGTGGTCATCAAGTATTAGGAAGAGTGGAGTCTGGCAAGTGATTTCAAAGTAGGTCACCTTCTTAAAGGGTAAACAGAATCTGTGAGTGCAGAGAAAGAATATAAACTAATAGGTGTAAGAGGCCTGGAAAAGAAAGTAGAGTGTATAAGGAACTAAGTAAAGAAACTACTTTTCTGCATGCAATACTTTATTTAAAAAAAAAAAAACATGTCAAAGAGATGGCAGCTTCTTATTAATATTTTCTTACTCAAAGTATTGTTTTAAGTGTTAAGGAACATTTTGAATTTTCATGGCACTAACCATGTTGGTGGCTGTAAAGATGCTCCTTTTAAGACATAAAATAGCTTCTTTGAAAGTTTGAATTCTTTTGATTTTCTGGGAAGTTTATGTTACTGCTCATTTTCAGTGATGAAGCACAATAGTTTGTAGCATTCGGTATAAGACAAAAATGTGATTTATGTATCGGATAATACTTGTATGTAGTGTTAATTTCAAGAAGTTATGTGGCCTTTCTCTTCCATAATTACACAGGTTGCTGTCCCAAACCTTAACGAAGCTGTACAGGATGCAGACTTGCTGGTTTTTGTCATTCCTCATCAGTTCATTCATAAAGTCTGCGATGAAATCACAGGACGAGTACCCAAGAAAGCGCTTGGTATAACTCTCATAAAGGTATAATAAATACTATTTATTAATAACTGAGACCAAGTAATGGAATCTTCTAACCCAAGATGGCATGGTATTTTGAGCTGGAAAGTCCCGTTACATTATTCACGCAGTTGTTCCATTGAGCATTTCTATATGTAAGATCTGCCATTAGTGGCTTGGTTGCAGTGCTTTGTTTTTGGCTAGGCTTGCAGGAGGAGGAGAATGAGGCTGTTCGCAAGGCTTGTAAAAAGAGAGTGTATGGTTTTTTTTTTGCACGACCAAGCTTTCCAATCTTCTATTGATTGTTTCCAAATGCATCATTAGATGAAGAACAGAGCACAGGCATAATTCTTCAATTGTTAACGCACATCCCACACACTGAGTTGATCATTTTAGAATGGCTGAGAGAGTTTCAGGTGATTAAGAGGACAGTGCTTTTGCTCATGTCGAATACTATGTTGCAACAAGAGAGTCTGGTCAGCATTGCCAAAAAAGACAACTGGAGCATAGGAAATAGGAGGGGGCATAGGTGCAGGAAGTGTTTCACTGTAGTGTTTGTAGTTTTGGTGGCAGGAGAATTTTTAAATGTGGATGAGCTGCAAAGAACAAGCTATTCCCATAAGATTTGGAAAATTCTGTTTTGTTGTTGCTTTGTACTTATTTGAGAGTAGGCTGTTTTTGGAGTACACATTCCCTTGTTTACAGTCATGTCTGAAAAATTACATCAAGCTGTGCTCAAAAAGAACAAAACCCTGTATTGCTACTTACTGCAAGCTTGTCTTTTGGTTTGGTTAACTAAACCCATCAAATCCATATTGTTTGGCCACTGCTGACCTGATACATTGTTGAGATGTAGGAAAAAGTAATGCTTCCGAAGTGTGCATTTTGCAGAAAAAGCTTTTTGTATTGTAGAATAAAACAAGGAGATATTAAAAATGGAATGCATAGCATCAAACCCATACAACTGTCCTAGATGCCCTTAAGTTTCAAGTTGTTCATTTATGCTTATTTCTTTTGCAAACTCAAGGTAAACTTTCCTTAGTTTGTGAAACATGATTTATGTTCTCGTGCCCTCAGTGACAGAAATAACTGATGAATTCAGTGAAGCAAATGGGAATTTATGTCAGCATATCTGAAATCAGAGTCTGGGCCTGAATTCCTGTAGCATTACTGCTTGGGGTTTTGATTACCAGTGCAGTGTTGATAAGTGCCCATGTTTAAAAAAGGAGGGGGGGAGTGTACTTATGTTGGAAAATAAAAAAAATCCAAACCTCAAACAAACAAAAACTCCCCAACATAACAGGAAGCCCATACTTAGTTTATTGTGTGTAAAATAGCAGCACCTGCCATGCAAAGCTGAGTTGAATACCAGGCAGCTTCCCACTGGCACGTTGTGACACTGCATCAGTAAGTGGTCTTTTAAAAGAAATGATGTGAGGCCACTGCATTTTTTTTCACAGGTGAATGCAAAGTACATGTTAGCCTTTATGAAAAGGCATAACTGGGCATCATTAAAGATGTCATTTAAGAAGAAGGGGCAGAGATTTAACGCAGCAGTGAAACTAGGTAGTAGAGGCAGAAATGCATTCTTTCTTTTACTTTTGCAGGTTCTTTATACATGCTGTTTTCATCGAAGTCATATTTTAGTGGTCTCATTATGCTCAACACTAATGCTATTAAAGTGGCTTATATTAACTTTGGCAGTTAAATTGCAGTTCTGCTCTTAAAAACATCATTAGTGGGAGATCTTGTTTCTGTGCTTTCTAAATTGCTTGGCAAGTTGGTAGCGTGGCATCTCAGTCCTTTTAGTCTTTTTTTTTTTCTTTCCCCTTTTTCTGACCGTCTAATCCTCAAGCAGAGCCTAATACTTAATAATAAAACAAAGCCTTTGGGAAATAAGTTAATCTGTGTTCCTGTTGAAACTTCTGCAGCTGTGTTGCTTTACATAAGTTCTTATAATGGGTGTCTAAATAAAACAAGCTAATCATTGAGTAGATACGCGGGAATAATTGTATACAGCTTGTGGTGCAGTACATCAGTGAGCACAGGAAGCAGATTAGATGGTCATTCAAAACATTCTTCAGGCAGCCTCCACATCAGTCTCATTTTCATTTACATATACATGGGCCCCAGGGATTGCTCTCAGGCATATTAGGACGCAAGCAGTAAGATCACAGATTTGGACTGCCTGCCTTGCCTGGGGATCATTGCTGCCTAGTGGAAATTCCCAACTTGGAGCCTTATTTTTGGGGAAGGGCTCGGTGTTTGTTTTTTCTCCTGTCACTGTCATTCAGTATTGGATTTAACTCTGCAAGAAACAGGTGCAGCTCTCTGACTTTGTCAGAAATTTCATCTGTTTCATAGGGGAGCAGAATTTGGCACCTAAATCTCTGATCTCCTTTCACTTGGGTGAATAATTGTTGTGTACATAGTCACATTTTTTTTGGAGTTATTCCCAATGTATGCATGCTTTCCTGTTTATTAATTGTCTGCTTAGGAGTAGGGGCCTTGCTCCGTTTTGTGGAGATATTTTTGGCACTTCGAGGGAAAAATACAACATGTATATGTGTGCTTGTTTTCACATCCTTTCTGTATGGCTCATTACAGGTGAGAAGGCAGAGCTGTGCATTAAGTGGTACATATTGAAAAATAAGGCAGAAATGCAAGCATTAGAAATGCAGGCATTAGCCTAATTGTCTGGTTTTATACTGGCATTTCTTCATGCCTCTTGATCACTATTGTCAACATACAAATGTCTGTGGATGTGTATCTGGAAGCAGTAGAGGACCACTCTGCCTTTTTGCTTTCAAGTCACAATTTAAAATTACCAATCCTTAAAAGTACTGACTTCCCAGCATTAAAAAATAGCACTGGATAAAGGGTGGAAAAGACAGACCATTTCAGTAGCTTGTCTGGTTCTGAAAACGCAAAAGGAGCCTGCATTTAGCAAGCTAGGAGAAAAAGATTTTGTGAGAAGAAGGTGGTCTCATTTGGAATTCTTGGTGCAGCAATTCAGGGTACCAGACTTTTCATTGCAGCATTAATCTTTGGGGTGATCCTTTTCTGTTCAGGGTCCTGTTTCTGCCCCTGCTTTCGTGCTTTGCAGATTGTCCATAGATGTTGTTCTCAGCTGTTCAGCTTTCTGTGTGTCTTGTAAATAGCTGTTCCATTTGTAATAGTATTCAAAACAATTAAACTGGGTTTCTACTTGTAAACTGTTGTTGGCATTACATACAAGGGAATTCCCCTGATATTTCAATTCAGATAACTCTTCCCAAAACAAGTTATTGGGATGCCATTTTGTGAGTTCTGGTGCAGTTTCAAATCCACGTGCAGGCCTGATTCACAACTGATGGATTGGTGATGCTTCACTGGTTTTATTAAAGATACACTGATAATAAACAACTGGGATTCCGAACTAAGAAAGACGAAAATTCAGCACCTCTTAAGATGAGGTTTTAGCTATTACCATTATCTAGAGTTTAGTCCCAATTCTTAATGAAGACTGCTTGAAGGAGTCACAACAACAGCAGTTTCACTAGTAGCAAGTATGTTATCTTTAGTCTCTATCTTAGGCCTTGTACTTCTCACCCATGGACAAGACTAATTGTGATGTGCTTTCTTCTCTACTGTGTCTAATGAATGACTTCTTAGTAATTCCATTTAATCTTGGCTGCAGGGTATAGATGAAGGCCCGGAGGGACTCAAACTGATCTCTGACATTATTCGAGAGAAGATGGGAATAGACATCAGTGTGTTGATGGGAGCTAACATTGCTAATGAGGTGGCAGCAGAGAAATTCTGTGAAACCACAATAGGTACTGTTCCAAGTAATAAAAATGTTTAAAATATACTCCTGTCCTCACAGCTGCACAGCAGGTAGCTCACATGTTACTGTTTTCAACATGAGCTGGCTGTTATCAGAAACTGTTGAGTTCTTCTTATTTTAATACTGAATTTCCTGAAATGTTAACACTTCCAAAAGTACTAGTACAATACCGAAATAGAAGGAGAGAGAGGGGTGCAGTTTTACCTAGTCTCACTAGGGTTGTGACCTTAGCAAGCGAAACACTTAAGCATTCTTTTTATCACCCTCCACATAACAAACTACTTTATTTTATTACTGTGCTTAAGATTTTTCTTCTGTCTGCATGGCTTTATATGAATAAATAATTATATGTTCTGTGCTCAGGTGTTACGATCACAGATCATATAATAATAGAATAGTTACGGTTGGAAAGGATTTTAAGATCATCTAGTTCCAACCCCCTTGCCATGGGCAGGGACACCTCACACTAAACCATCTCACACAAGGCTCTGTCCAACCTGGCCTTGAACACCAGAGGGAGCATTCGCAGCTTCCTTGGGCAACCCATTCCAGTGCCTCACCACCCTTACAGTAAAGAACTGCCTCCTTATATCCAATCTAAACTTTGCCTGTTTAAGTTTTAACTCGTTACCCCTTGTCTATGAAGAATCCCTCCCCAGCATCCCTATAGCCCCCCTTCAGATGCTGGAAGTCTGTCATGAGGTCTTCACGCAGGCTTCTCTTCTCCAGGCTGAACAGCCCCAACTTTCTCAGCCTATACAGCAGGTGCTTCAGTCCCCTGATCATCCTTGTGGCCCTTCTCTGGACTTGTTCCAACAGTTCCATGTCCTTTTTATGTTGAGAACACCAGAATTGTACACAGTACTCTTAAGTGAGGTCTCACAAGAGCAGAGTAGAGGGGCAAGGTGTTTGGATTGTTTTTTTGGTTTGGTGTTTTTTGTTGTTTTTTTTTAAGGTATTTCTCAGAATAATCAGTTTCCCCAAAAGCTAGACATTGTCATAGTTCTGTATGGATGCATACTTTTGCAGCACAAGGATGTGCCTAGTCTTGGCTTTCACAGTATATAGACAGGCATATGTGTGTGTTGTGTGTATATGCTTACAGATAGTCGTACATAATAGCAAGGAGCTCATGTTATTTTTTTTAGTGTTAATTTTTACAGTTTTGTGCATTTTTAGCTTTATGACCTTTCATTAACAGCTTTTGTAGTGAACTTATTTTTGAAAGGTTGAATTATCTCTTATTGCTTAGAGACTTTTTCCAGTGATAACATGCTTAATTAATAAAACAGTCTTGACATGCCTTCATCAGCAGGTTTTTCTCTGGAATTCAGGCCTTGAAGTAATGGCTAGAATTGCATTTGCTGTATTTTTAATTCAGCTTTTCTTTGTTATTAACTGGGTTTTTTAAGGGACTGATCAAAAAAAAAAGAGTACAGATAATTAATGGAATTGTTTTTGAGAATCTGTTGCTGAGCAGACAATGAATTACAAAGTAGTCCAGAGTAACTCAGTGCAGAGCTTTGAAGTGCAATGTAAATGTATCATTAGTCACTTAAAGCAGGACTCTGTTTAGGATGAAGGTAGAAAAATCTTGTCTCTGTTTTTAAATATTTTGGCTTGCACAGGAAATGCTAAGTAGTACCCAAATAAATAATTCATTTCTTAGCCTTCTTTTCTCTCTCTCAACAGGCAGCAAAATCTTGGAAAATGGCCTTCTCTTCAAAGAACTCCTGCAGACTCCGAACTTCCGAATAACCGTAGTAGATGATGCAGATACAGTTGAGCTTTGTGGTGCTCTAAAGGTAAGATTAACAAGCTGCAGTTTGTACACAAAGGGAATGGTGATCCTTATAGAAAAGAGGGTATTTTCATTTAAAGAATTCAGTTTATTGTGCTTTATATATTACATAAAAATACTCCATAACATTTCTGGAATAACCATATGGGAAATTGGGGAGCAGCATGTTCTAAGAGTTGGCTTTTAGATGCTTGTCTTATCATCTCCCAGGTTCTCTTTCTACATCTTTTGCTTAGCTCACAGAGAGTCTTGAAACCAGTGTTGGTTTCATCAAATTAGTCAATATATTTCTGAATCCATTTTCGTTCCCTTTTTCTTTTTGCAAGTGTATTCACAAAACGAAAGGGGGAAAAAATATGTTGGTGTCCTGGGTTCAGCAGTAGCAGTCATTTTTCTCCTTCTTAGTAGCTGGTGCAATGCTGTGTTTTCGACTTTCAGCCTGGGAACAGTGCTGGTAACACTGGTGTTTTTAGTTGCTGGTCAGAATGTTTATTCTGACCAAGGACTTCGCGAGTCTCATGCTCTGCCAGGGAGGAGGGGAAGCTGGGAGGAAGCAGAGACAGGACACCTGACCCAAACTAGCCAAAGAGGTATTCCATACCACAGCACGTCATGCCCACTATATAAACTGGGGGCAGTTACCTGGAAGGGCTAGATCACTGCTCAGTGGGGCTGGGTAGCGGTCAACGGGTGGTGAGCGGTTGTATTCTCTTCCATTGTTATTTCCCTTATCGTTATTATTATTGGTGGTAGCAGCAGTGATTTGTGTTATACCTTAGTTACTGGACTGCTCTTACCTCAACCTGTGGGAGTTGCATTCTTTTGATTCCCCTCCCTGGCCCTCCGGGAGCAGAGGTGGGGGGGGGGGGGGAAGGGAGGAAGTGAGAGGGGACTGCGTGGTCTGATTTACGGCTAGGTTTAAACCACAACAGTTGGCATTAATCCTTTGTGTCCAGTGATAAACCTATTCCCTTCTTCATTGACTTACACAACGTAAGCACTCTTATGGTTTATATTTTGTGGATGTGCACTGCATAAAGTTCTTGTGGATAACCACATACAGAGATGAACTGTATGGGAAAAAAGTTATTTTGGACAGTTAGTTACTGAGGTTTTTTTGTTAACATAATTGATGCTGACAGGAAGCAGAGCTTAAACATAGTCTTCTTGCTATTTCTTCCATGTGATTTTGCAGGCCATTTGTGAAAGGAAGTCATTAGCTGCCTGGCACCCTTGCTAACAGGACTGTAGTTCACTATCTGATATCTATCATGGAAGTATTTCTGATAGGTGTAGTGGTTTAGTAGATAATTTGATTTAGTGGGGGTTATCTAAATTTTTTTTTTTTGTAATTCTTTTATATTGCTTTGTTTCTTCTTCCGTTAAAATTATGTGCAATCTACACTATTCACTTGCAAAGCTACCACAGCAATGGATAATGTCTTTAAGCTAAGGAGTTCTGATTTCTACTTAACAGGAAGTAGACTGATAGATATAATAATAACATAATTTTTGGCATACTGTTTTTCTTGGTAATTTTTTTCTTAAGCTGTCATACTGGAAGTCCTGAGGAGATCATGACTCTATGCACTGGGCTAATGTGCTACGCTTTGGTATAACATGCATACTTTAGACTTACTGTATTTATAGAAATTTCTCAGTATTGCAAAATGTGTAATTTGTCTCCAAAGCCATTACTTTAAAACAGTGATGTGGTGATTTGGGAGGTTAGCAGAAAAGAAATCCCTGTGTATAGACCCATGGAACTAGTCAGAATGTTTTACAGTTTTATTTTTCCTTGAAATCTGCTCAGCCTGATGTTACCTGGCTAGCTTCAGTTCTTGCTGGATAAAAGAGTTCTGTCCCAGGTCATTCTTTTTCCAGACAAATCTTGTGAAAGGATGCTAGAAATGAGTGTGCCCATCAAACTGGGCAGCTAGTCAGCAGACATTGAAAATTCACTGTAAAGGCTAGGCAAGATACCAGTATCTTTGAAAGTGCAGAAGAACTTGAATAAATTGTTGGGTTTGACCTGGAAAGAAACTGAGATTAAATTTGTGTGTTTTCTTTATAGTCTTGTTTAGTTCCTCCCTTCTGCTTCATTATTCATCATGCATCCTGCAGACTGAACTCTCCAGTTTCATTTCTAAAAAGCTGTGTATATTCTGTATGCTCTGGTAATTTGGCTTTGTTGCAGTATATTTTGTTCACTGAGTTGAGACTTCCAGAGAAATGGGTGATTTGAGCTCTGAACAAACAGCGAATTCAGGATAGATTAGCTTGTTTAAAAAGACTTTCTTGCCTGATTAAAAGTCAGGAATTGGCATAAAGTGGCATATATCAGCCATGCAAGCATGGGTGATGCTTTTTAAACATACAGTCCTTCCTTAATCTCAAACCCATTTTTATTAAAATTATGGTTTTAAAAGTAATTTTTTCATTTAAAACCCTTTCTAGTGTGATCCTAACCCTTGTGCTGACAGCCTGTAAATCATTTCCTGAGCTGGTCTGAACTCAAACATTGAAAATTTTATTAATGCATTGGGAGCATGTTTATGCCTTTGAAAGAAAATGTAGAAACTAAAATTGAGCAGATGGGTGTGTTTTTATTGCCTGTGCAAAGCAAAATGCAAAGCTCAGATGTGAATAATGAAATGTAAACTTGAGCTTTTGTTCTTAGTTGTTGTACATTCTTTTTCTTAAGACAATTGCTTGCTAAGGGTAGCAACAAGCACTTGGTTTTTTTGTGATTAATCTGATCATCTTTATAAAAAAAGTGAAAAATAAGCATCTTTTAATGTGATTGGTTTTAGGGGAGAATCTAAAGTGTAGCTTCTGTCAGCTAACAGTTGCTTTATTAAACTTGGAAAGTTACTTCATGAAAAAGTACTAAATATTAGCATTATTTAACTTGTTGGAAGGAGGAAATTCCTGTTTCAGAACATGACAGTGCTCTTTCTCTGGCAGTGCCAATTCAAAATGTCGCCAGCATCTCTGCAAACTACAGCTTAGAGGACAGAAGTAAGAAGCACACATGCCAGGCCAAACTGTATTTTTGGCAGTGGAAATAGTAAAAGCAATTCCTGTATTGATATTTAAAGGGTGAGAAATAGTACACTATGTGAAATAGTATATTCTCCCAGCTTGTGTTTTTTTTCTATAAATACCAGCTTGGGAAAAGCAAACTTTTGTGGTATTTCTGGCATAATACACTAGATCTTGTTAAAAGCCTACACTTGCCTTGTTCTCTATTTCTGCAAGCCTTTCTAAGCTGAGATTTTCAATGTGGATGCTTAACTAAAGGTTGGGAACAAATGTAGAAGGGTAACAGAATGTCCTCTGAGCACAGCTTTCCCTTACAATAATGATAATTTAGGTTTGAAATTTGGTTTTTGAAACATTCAAATTCCAACTGTAATAATAGGTATTGCAGGTGAGTGATCATGTAAGAACATGTACTCATTTGCTATTTATATACATATATATATTAAATATCCACTTCATTTACTGCATTTATGTTTTGTGACAATGGGCTAATGGAAATATACTTAAGTATAGAAACTGCAGTCTTGTGTCATCTTGGAGACTGGCTGAACAGGCAATGGTAGTCACTTTACAAAGCAGTGATCCTGATAATGCTGAGGAGGGAGACCTACTGTCTAAAAGAACTTGTTGGCATTCTTGGCATGTTCTTCTCTATGATGATTTTTTTTTTTCTTTTGAGGACCTGAGCACGTTTCCCATTTATTTGTTGACCTTTTCTAAGGGTTGAGGTCAGAAATTAACAAACTTCAAATTTGGATAGTTCAGTTTCAGCGTATCCAGTTGACTTCACAGGCAGTGTGATCTAAGACCACCTACAGGTTCCAGCTGTTATTTGCCATATGATGGAGTCTTCCTAGGAAGTGTTTAAAGATTATGACAGCACTGTAAGAGTAGTATGAGTAGCTGTGCATATGTACAGATATACTCCTGGGTGCTTATGGATGTGATACTGATCTCTGGATATGGCAGAATGGCCATGCTTCCACTGCCTTGTGTATGTGTTCAGATATCTGGAGAGTTAAAAACCCTCAAGTGGCAGCAACCAAGGACCAAGACAGATAACAACAGTTACTTCAGAAAGGAGAAGGAGCAGTTGATGTGGTTGCCTTTCAGGTTGCTTCAGGATCATCTCTAAATCTTATGGTTCCAGCTTAACCTTAAGCAAAGAAGTAAGAAGTAGAATGATGATTTATTATTTACCAGGTTATGTGCATTATTAGTTACAAAGATGGTCTTGCAAGGTGGTCTACGTCTGTCACTGTTGGATAGTCAGTCTAGGTACTACAGAAGCTGATTGTGGCAATTACTCTTTCCTGACATTAAGTGGAAATGAAATCCATTATTTACTTTCAAGTTTGCTGGAAGCAAGTAAGCAGTTTATGCTTAACCTCCCTGACAGTCCTGCTGATACTGTCTTTTATTTGTTGAGTCTTCATCTGACCTCTCTTAGCCATGATGTGAAGCAAATTGCTTCTCCAAGTTCATGTGTAAGCAGGCTGTGCTGAGCTGACACTACCTCAAGGAAGTCTGGACATCCCAGGTGAATTAGTATTTCTGTTACTAAAATGCTACTAATGCTATTGCATTAGAGAACTACTCTAATGATCCATTTAATTATGGAGAGGTAATGATTGCCTCAGAAATGGCCTCGGATGCTGTCTTCATGAGCACTCCACAAACCTGTAAACAGAGTAGGACTGGAAATTGGGTATTTCTGAGTATTGGCTGACTGTGTAAGAGAACATCTGTCAGCAAAATCTGCAGGTTTGTTAGCCTTGATTTCATGGTCATCTCTTGACCTTGCATTTGTGACTTCTCTCACAAATGGCATGTTTGCGTCAAGTCATGTGCAAGTGAAAGATGTTTCTCTCATTTGTTCTGACACATACTGTGAGAACTGCCTGGCATTACCATTTCTCTTCTGGAGCATAACTTCACTGTAAAATAACTGAATCAGGTCTCCCTTATATTCTAGAATAACTAGGGCTAATGCCAGCTTCTGGATACCAGATCAGCTAAAAGCTTGCCTGTTAGTGCAGAGTGTTTTAGTAGTTTAAAACCATACGGAATGTAAAATCATCCTGTGTATCTTGCCTGCTGGGTGCTCTAATATAAAAAAAAAAAAAAGCTGTTAATGCTGAGATGGAGGAAATCTGCTTGCTCAAGGGTGAGGTGGCTTTGAGAGCTCTGAATCCCTCAGGCCAAGACAAATGTTGTGTTGCAGTTCATCTTGGTGGTGTTGTGACAGTATTTTTTAGCCTTTGGAACAACCAACTTGTATGTAAGCTGAAGTTTACTTGCCTATTGGGCTCTCAGAATCCCCATGTTACACATGCAAATACAGTCAGTCTTTGAGCTCACAGAAGTGTACACAAATGTATATTTGCAGGAGCTGTTGTAACTTCAGGTATAGGCTTTGGCAGTGGCAGTGTTCAGGATCAACTGTGTCGGATACAGAACAATGTTTTCACCAGATAGATACAGATTCTCCCCCAGAGTCTGCTTCTCAGAAGATCACTACAGTGCTAGTGCCATTAGGCTCCTGTGTGTTAATTTGCTTATGTTCTAAAATGACTAGGACTAATGCCAGCTTCCGGGTACCAGATCATTATGCATCTTCCTGAAACAAACTCAACTTAGTGCCTGCAGCCAGAAATGTCAAGGACCAAGCTGCCTGGTTTGGTCTTGTTTTGGACTGAATGATGACTCAGTCTCAAGTTCTGTGAGATTTTGTGTTGGTTTATTTCTAAAAGGAGTGGCTTGTCTTTCAGTGAGGTGTAACTTTCAATGTGGTGTAGTTCAGTTCTCTGGAGCGTATTAGACACAGGAGAGTTGTCACAGATTCTTAAAGGATTTGAGTAAAACCAGGTGGTAGACCCTGTAAAATAATAGTTGTGGCCCGAGGGTTATGTAGACCACGTAAAGCAGTCTCCTAGGAGTGGGTGGGTATTCCAGAGTATAACCAGTTGTCTTTTTTTCCTCATTATTTGCAAACTAATTTTAAGACTGTACAATGGGGACATTGTACAAACAAGGAGTTTGGTGTTTCAGGGTTAGACTCGCAGCTTGTCTTTTCCCCACCCCATTTCCTCAGAAGTAACTAGTCTTGATGTGACTTGCTTAAAACAATATTCCTGTTGCTCCAAACACAAACATCGCAAAAGGTGGAAGTAGACAACAAAATACCATAGGCCAAATCATCCTGTAAAGTTATGGCCAGATAGGCTGCTTCAAAGTGGAAAGCAAAGTCAAAGCAGGCAAAATTGGAGGGAAGGGAAAGCTTTAGTATTGGAGTGTTCAAGAAGTACATGTAAAAAGTCTAGAGGTTGTTCAAAAATTGTTGGGTTTAGCTGAGCACTAAACACTCGCAGACTTTGTGTATGTGTACATTCCATTTAAATGGGTTATCCCATCTGAAAACTTCTTAAATACCTGTTTGACTTCTTCTTGCTTTGCTACCAAATGAAAATATATTGGAGGTTGCTCTGGGAGAGGCATTTGATGAAAGCATGCCCTGACTGAATCACCACAAGCAGCATTTAAGCCAGGATGATCTGAAGCACCAGCTTTAAAAGTCTTGATTTGCTGCTACATGTCTGATGTTGGGGTATCTGTCTGCAATTTTTATGGTCACCTTCAGAGCTCAGCTGGCTGCTCAAAAAGCAGTGACTTGTCCTCTGACATCATTTGATTCAGATCCATCTAGTCATGACTGGCCACACTGCAGCTACCTGCAGGTTTTGGTTCTTGCAGTCCAAAAAACAAACAAAACCGGTTGAAAGTCAGCTTGTTACTTTCATTATCAATTTCTGAGTTGCTGTTTCTTCAGGAGTAGTTACAGATGGTTTTGTTGATTGGGTTGGTGGTTTTTTTCCCTGCACTCAGTGCTGTATTAGGTGCCATAATGTTAGTTCTCCTTGAAGGTTACTGCTGCTATTGTCACATGCTGAAAGGTATTACTATATGTTTTGGTAGGGGTTGTTGGGCTTTGGGTTTGTTTTGTGGATTTGTTTTTTTGTAGGAGCAAACTAATCTTGGCTAGTCTCTCTTTTCCAGGCCAGAAAATAGCTTTTATAATCACTGAAACATATCTCAACTAATCTCTATGTTCATAAACTGAAGAAGGGTCTGCATAGCTCGTTGTTCATGAAGAAACGGCACATGCTTTGTAGAAGCTGTCACCAGGTCTGAAGAGGGGGGGAAAACCCTACATTTTTTCTTCAGAATCCTGTGTCATGAACCTTCTGAGAATCCTTGATTAACTATTGCTGATACAGGAACTCTGTATACTTAAAAGGACTGAATTCTGTTAGCTTGGCTGAATTTGGGCTCTTAGCATATCACCATAGAAATTGACAAATGATTCTGTGCTTCAGTATTACTTTAATCATAAAGAAAATATGGATGACTATGGGATGTCGGTCTAACTTTATCCCTACCTCAGGGCAGGAACAGCTCAATCTAGATAAAACTTTGTTTGGGTGTGGTAATACCTGTTTGTTCATAAAGATAGTCAATAATAATAGCTCCACAGCCTCTAGGGCAGCTTGTTCCAGAGCTTTTATTCTGCTTTTGTCCTTGAAAAACCTAGTAATATAAGACTTGCCATCTTTGTTTGTTTGTTTTTTCTTTTGTAGAGATTATCCTATAGCTATCTAAATCCCAAACCAAAACAATAAAACCAAACCCAAACCCCAATAAAACAAGGATGGAGTCTTAGAATAGTAAAGTATTTGCATTTCTTAAGGACATCTGCACTGTGTGTTTTGGTGTCTCATACAATTCTGCAAGCAATAATTAACTCATTGCCATTTGGTTTGTCTCTTCTCATTAGAATATAGTAGCGGTAGGAGCTGGGTTCTGTGATGGCCTTTGCTGCGGTGACAATACCAAAGCTGCTGTTATTCGCCTTGGCCTGATGGAGATGATTGCCTTTGCCAGAGTGTTTTGCAAAGGGCGGGTGTCTACTGCCACTTTTCTGGAGAGCTGTGGGGTTGCTGATCTCATCACAACATGTTATGGTGGCCGGAACAGACGTGTGGCAGAAGCCTTCGTTAAAACAGGAAAGGTACCTCATTCACTGTGTGAAATCCACTGTTGCAAGTACTAACACTCCTTGTTTGTTGGAGTAACAGTACAATTATCTGAGGCATGCTAGCTGTGCTGAGTGAGAACCCTTCTCTGTCCTCATGTTTTTGAGTGTAGCAAGGCTAGAATGGAAGTAAAGGTGTTAAAAAAGAGGGAAATGCAGATTTAAGGAGAATTTCTACAAACAATAACATAGGAGAATATTTTATATGCTCACTTAAGATCGTTTTTGAGAAAGGAAAAACTCAGTTTTTTTTTTTTTTTTGTCATTCAGATGATGCTGTCAGGCTTATGAAAACTTTTATCATAAATCTCCTTCTCCTCCTGTTGTTTCTTTTTCCCACTTCATGGTTTAGTCTATTGAACAATTGGAGCAAGAAATGTTAAATGGTCAGAAACTGCAAGGACCACAGACTTCTGCAGAAGTGTACCGTATCCTCAAGCAGAAAGAAATGCTGGAAAAGTAAGTAAGAACAGATAAAGCCAGTTCCACATGCCCCTTTTTTATGTCCATAATTGTTTCTGCATATTTGATATCTTCTTGAAGGTAACAGCCAAGAAGAAAATCGTTGTAGTAAGAGTAGCTTAATCCCCAGTTAAAATCACAGAGAGAAGTGAATAGATCCACAAAATAATACTACTGTAGATCAAGCTAGTTGGGTGACATTAAATTTCTGCAGAATGTATTGTTGCCTTCTGCTATCACAGAAAAGCAGAGCAAGTGTGTCTTAATATTTGAAAAGAATAAAATACATGGAAATGGAAGCTGGGCTTCCTAAAGAGACTTATGAAAACGCTCTACAGCTAATTTCATTGTAGTAAATTCATTACTTGTCTCCAAGGAGAGGCGCTTTTTTATGAAGGTTCTGTATAGGTGATCATCTGAACAGAGTGGCTGCTTCTTTCCACGTGAATTCTAGCTCAGAGAGCACAGTTCTCTTTCCTAATACGGTTTCCAGTTTGCTGTAGGATAAAACTTACCATCTGCTTGTACAGGTCGGGGGTTATTTTCTCGTATGAAATGAAGCAGGTTTTCCTGGCTTGTTCATTTGGGTTCAAGTCAGAGCATGTATGATTCCTAGAGCCACATGCACACAGTTGTCTCCATGTGAGATTAAGGGATGCGTGTATCCCTTCCTGTTTGAAGAGGATGCAAATCAGAAAATAAATGCCTGCCAGTGAGACCAAGCCTTGCTACTTTCTCTTTTCCCAAAGGAGTTTTTAAAGTATAGTTTTAATGGCTCAGCTACATTAAGTTACTTATTTTTTTACGTTTTCCTTTGGATGTAAGGTACTGAAGTCTGCCTCTGCAATGCATGAAGCTAACTGCAGAAAAAAAACCTAGTTAAACATTGGCTTCATTCTTTGCTGATAATGATGCCCTAAATGAGACAGGATGTCATGTTTGGGTTGTTTTGGGGGGGATTAGTTTAGTTGATTATTTTTTCCCTATCTTACAACAAATAGAGTGTATTATGGAAGACTTCAGGTTTTGCTTTTTCTTAATGAAAGTTATGAAAACCATTGGTATACCAATGTATATGCATCAGTTCTTTCTAAAAGGTCCTATTCAACAACACTTTCAAAAGCAACTTTCAGCGTGGTTTTCCCAGACTTTCTTGTTACTGCTTTAAAACACAAAGCACAATAAACCAGCTGTGTTTTTAAACTGCAGAGTTAAGTGTCTAGGAAGAATAAAATTTCGCACTCTCATCCTCCAGAAAGAATCTCAATGCTACACAGAAATAGGCAAAAGTCAAAGTTCAGCAGAAGAGCCTCGGTAGCAGGGTTGATGCCTGTTGGTATTTACAGTGCAATTAGTTTTTTCATTTCAACATTGTAGAACTAGCCCTCTTAATGTACTCAGACATAAGATGCATTTGGAGTTTGCTGAGCCTGCAGTCAACCTTGATTCTGAAGAATCTGACATTTCAAAATCCATGTTGTATTTTGGACCATCAAAAACTTGACCTTCAATTTCTTCTTGGGTTTCTTTATGTCATATTCTGCATTGTGTTTTCGAATTATTGCTCAGAAATAATGCACAACTGCTGTGCCAGTCATCCTTTTCAACCATGGATGAGTATTACTGTAAGATTATCAAGGAAAGATGCAAGTAGTTTTAGTTTGTTTTTAACTTTCTGGATGACTTAGTGGTTGGGCCATGCATAATGAATGCTGCAGGCCCCATTAGAGCTAGCTAGGCTTCTCAGAGTGACTGTGCATTTTAGAGATGCCTTATTGTCATTTTAGAGATGCTTGGAGGTTCTGTATTTAGCAGGTACTTTTCAACCCAGCATTAACACTCGGCAAATACTAAAAGAAACTGATCTTTCCTAACCCCACTTTATAGCTTTCATTTAAGAAAATATTACAGAATAAACTTCACTGCGTTTGCTTTCTCTACCCTGTTTCCTCAGGTTTCCATTATTCACTGCTGTGTATCAAATCTGCTATGAAGGGAAGCCTGTCAGAGAGATGATATCCTGCCTTCAGAGTCATCCAGAGCACATATAAAATCAATCAGGCATCATCCTAATGCAGGTTTCTGCCTTTCAAGTTCATATCTGAGTTCAAGTGGATGTCTCATTAACATTTGTTCAAAGCTGTTCACCAGGCAACAGTAACAATGTGAATGTCTCTGAATGGGTATTGCTTTTTGTTATACAGCCTAGTTTGACACAGCATGCCATGTTGGCTTGGTGATAGTTGTTTTACTGGCTAAAATACAACTGATTTAAGGTAGACAATGCAAAAGTTACACTACATATCCAGTGTATAAACACAAGTGTACTTTTGTGTGTGTTCCTACGCCTTAAGCAACAGTGTTTTGTTGTCTCTCATTAAGGCCTAGTCCAAAATCCACTGGACACTGAGAAGAATCCCACTGGTTTTGGTGGAGACTGAATCAAGCCTGTAACCTTGAAATGTTAGGAGTCTTTCTATTGGAACTTGTCATTGTCTATACAGAGGAAAACCAATTTAATATTTGGCATGGATATGATTGTATTAATTTAAGCAATATTAATGCAAAATAAGCAGTTGCTTGGGGGCTACAGGGGTATTTTAATGAACTCTGGTGAAGAACATTATGATTTTTGAAAGTCTAAAACTCTCAGACTATTTTGAAACCAATTTCTAAGTGAATTTAAAGATTTTAATTACACTATTTTAAAGGGAATATGCTAGAGGGGGATCGCTACCTTCCCTCCTGGTTTTAATCCTCACATTTTTGTATTTCTCTGTTTCTCCCTTGACATTCCCAGGTGTTAGGCTCTTCTAGAACTGCATTCCCAAAAACAAGTGGGAGATCCTGACTTGGGGATTCTAAACCCTGGATCCTAGGGGTCATTTCAGAGTTGCCTGTGGTCATTCTCACTGGTATTGTTTGGTGGGTGGGGAAGGATACTGTTAGGTATCCACCACCCAAAGCTGTCATGCTGTGTTTGTAGCTTAACCATCAGCTGGAAGGTGTTGCACTCCACACAGCACTCCAAGGAATGTTTGGGAAATTCCCTGGTTAGATATGCTTGAGTTGTCAATAGAGTTACTATGTGCCAGTACAATGACCATTCATTTCAGTGCCTGCCAGTGACTGACATGTCAACTGGACTGTAGTCCTGAACCAGAAACCCAGAGATGTTAAATTCTGAAGTTATTTTTTCACTGGATAAACTTTAATGGGTACCTTGATCAAGTACTTTATTGACCAGTCTCCCAGGAAGCTTCTCAAAGCCATCTCTTTTATTTCCTATCTCAACTAGGTTTTCTCAGGCACCTTTGCTTTATCAGGAAGGTTCATTTTACTATTGGAAAAGTTGTGATTTCATGGAGTTTTAGGGGTAGTGTTGGCTTGGTTATTTTTTGTTGTAAGAAGGTTTGTGCAGGATAGGTATATGAAATCTGTTTTGCTTTTCTTGTGTACTAAGGTGTGATTTTGGGGTAAAATATATCTAGGTACATAAAGAGTGGACTCATTCTTGCAGCTGGGATACAAGGATTAGCATCAGGATTTAGAGAGCTCAGAATGAATGCCCGTCACTCTGAATATCCACTCCAAACTTCTGAGCAGTATCAGAAGTGTTGGTCAGTGTTCTCAGTGATGTTTTTAAGGCCAGAAATCGTGAGCACAAACCCATAGTGAAGCTTCCAAGTTTTCATTCAAAGCTAGCTAAAACAAAGAAGGATGCCTGGGAGTAATTGTCACACTTCCTTAAGTAGCCTGGATTGCAGTGAAAGAGGTGAGGATGAAGACAGCTTTGTATAGACAGGAAGATGCTTCAGCTTAGTGCTAGCATTTCTTGTCTGGCATTCATTTTTGGAAGATCGTGTGAATGTCCTCAGATATTCAGGGGTGTAAGAAGGTATCTTGCCTTATTTCTGTAGTGCTAAATACAACAGATGGTCAGAAGTTAAGTAACATCAGATGCTTGTGGTAATGGAGGAAATAGCTGGTAGAGCTGACTTTGAATAAGCACTCTGCTTTAGCAATTAAAAGGCTGGTTTGAGACTGTAAGCACTGTGACATGCACACATGGAGCATACACTCCTCATTACTGCATAGCTTTCAGTGTGTATTCTGATGGATTCTGCTGGCTTTTTAATACCTTGCTGATTTGCTTTGGTCTGTGTGTATATATGCATAAATATGTAAACTTTTTTTTTTACATGCAGTATGTAGAACAGTAGCATTTTGTAAGATACATAAAGGGCTATATAAGCTAAATGTGGTAAATTAATATATATATTAAGTGACTTCTTTATTATTCCAATACTACTACCACTGAAACCCCAAAATCTTAATTATTCTTGTTTTGTACAGAAGCCTATTCCAAGGCAAATCCAGAGGAAAGGGTTTTATGAAATTCTTTCCTCCAGTGTGTACTTTCTTGTTCTTTTCAGACAAAAAGTGAGGTTTCAGTAACTAAAATAATTTATTTAAATTTCTATAAATACTTCACCTTTGTATTTGCTTTTCAGTGCTTGAGAACTATCAACTTGTCACTAGATACTTTCCTCCCACTAATAGTTACTGCTTACTAAAAGATTGTGATATGATCCTGGAACTGATTGGAATCGTGTTCTACAAACACTGTTTTGCCTGGTACTAGGATAGTCTTACTGACAGCGTTCACTCCTGTGTTAAGGGATCCTAAATGTGTAACTAATAATGCTTGGTTTATAAATTCTGATTACTAAGGAAGGCGTTATCTTCTAATGGTACCTACTCAGTGTGCCCTAGACGTGTATTGATTTTGTTTAAAGATTGTGACTATATACTCATTTAAACAGTTAGTACGAATAAACATTTTTGTCTTTAGAATCATTTTGGTCTCTGTCTCATTTTACATGGCTCATGGGCATTTTATTCACTTGATAGAATGTAGGTTTTTATGGATATGGTATATAATGATAGCAGATATGAGATTGCCATGCAAGAACTTGGATTTTAAAAAGAGGTATTTGACATCTAGATGTTAGCATTTTCATTTCTGTCCATTAGTGAAAATGATGGGGTCTTTGAGCTCTGGAATGGATTCTTGGCTTCAGTATTTTGAGCTGCTGCGTGAGCCACTGGAGGGCACTGGTGGGTAAGTGACCAATTCTGCGGGCTCCGCAGTTCCTTTTCAGAATTTCCTTCGGTTCCTGTATGACTGCCCCTGGCTTTCACTGTGTTCCTTGTACTTGGAGATGGTTTTAGTTCAGCACCATATGCATGTGTTGTAGATCCACTGGAAGTGATCTTTTTATAGGTTGGGTATAAAACACCCAACAACTTACTACCTTTGCTCAAGGCCCTGCCTTGCCTTTGTGTCTGTCTTAACACTACTACCTCAGCTCTGGGACAGTATGGTCTGTGAGATCTTCCAGCATCACTTGGATTCCAGTAGTGTACATCCAGAAATGCTTATTTCTGTTGCATCTTGAAAGTTGGTGGAGCCTGGAAGATGATGGGAACACATTGTGTCAGTGTTTATAACAGCAAAAGGAGTGGGAGACATCAAGTGTTTTACTAGGGAAAGGAGGATCCACTATGTAGTCATGGGGCACCATACTGTAAAAGAAGTGTGGAGTGTTTTGGTGAACAGAATAATGCACTGTCTACCTCAAAGCATTTCATAAAATGAGGGCAGTGTCTTAATTCCTCCATTTACACATAGGGGATACTGGCAGGTAAAGGCAGTTGCACAGCAAACCTGTGGCTGGATGCATTTTATTCCTAATTTTAAGCCAGGGTTTCAGCTATCAGGTCATTTCTCCTTGTACCTTTCAGCTCAAAATTGTTTTTATTTTAAGGGTGTATGAAATCAACTAGTAAAATAAATATGTAGGTATCTAAAACATACCATCATACCATTCTAGTAAGTCTGAGTCTGCAGGAAAGCAAAAATCACAAGAGAATTAGGATGGTTTCTTTCAAATGGGCATTATCTTCTGAAGGGATGATCCTTTCTCACCAGATCAGTGCTTACAGGCTGGGTGTCTCTGATTGACTGTAAATAACACTGAGACAAGGGGGGGCACGAAATTACAAAATGGGATATAGAAATCTTTAGAAGTAGCTTTAAGTAGTGTTAAGTTTGATGACTTTGTAACAGTAGCAATGGAAAATTACTGAGGTGCAGGGTACCTAGAGAAAAATATATAAAGAGAGTGCAGCTAGAGAACATCCTGAGAATTCTCACACGATAAATCGTTTTAGTTGACATAGCTTTAAGAAGAAACAGCCTAGAAAAACAGGACACAGGGATAAGGGGTATCCGGGAACTGCAGGTGTCCAGGATGGGCTACAGTTAAACTAACTGATAAGTAGGAGGATGGGAGGATTATTATGTCTCTGGTGCTAACAAACCAATTAAACTGGTATGAGCATCTACTGCGCGTGCTTCAAAGGCTGCCAGAAGTGATGAAGATTGTTGGAAAAAGTAGACGACCCTCAGAGACCACCACCACAATTCTGTACGCATGCGGGGAACTCTCTGGAAAGTGATGTAATCCATATGTAGCCTCATGAATATGTATGTATGCCCAGGGGCTATAAAAGGACGGCTTGTGGGGCAATTAGGGAGATACACGCTAGGTCCGCTGAGGACAGGGCTCCCTAGGGCCCTCGGGAATTTTTCCCGGAGGAACCCCTCAGCTCATTCGGATTGCTGCGGGAGCAGACAAGGACCATCTCCTAAAAGGTATTCTTTTCTTTTATATAGTCTGTAAGGTGCAGGGGGCACCTCGATTTGGTAAATTGGTTTGGTAAACTGGTTTGGTAAATTGGTTTGGTAAGCGTACGCATGGTTTGGAAGCCTTCCATAAATCGAGATAAGAAATCTCGTAGGTAAAGGCGTATACCCGGCTGCTAGCGTCCGTTCGGTATACACCCACAAGAAGCAGGGGGCTTCTTGTGGTTTGGGTCCTGCAAGATACAGGTGGTGTCTTGCAGAAAAGGTTTTGGATTTTACTGGAATATACCCAAAGGAAGTAGGCGGCTTCTGTGGTTTGGGTCCTGCAAGACACAGGGGGTGTCTTTCAGAAAAGGTTAAAAGGTGTTTGGTATTCAGTTTGCTTTGTGGCCTGTTATAGTGCTGATATTAGTCTTGTGATTTTGGGTATCAGTGAACTGTATTTAATTGTGGCCTGTTTGATAGAATTTTAGTCTCTGTATCTGTTTCAAGTGTTGTAACTGTGTGAGTGTGTCTGTGGGGTCCCGTGCGTGTGTGAGAGTGAGAGATTAATAATGGGAAATCAGCAGAGTGAGGAGATTATGAAAAAGAGTCCTTTAGGGTGCATTTTGGCACATTGGAAAGAACTGGGAGGGTCTCCTGGGGGCTCAGCAAATAAGAAAGCATTGATAAAATACTGTAACCAATGGTGGCCTTTGTATATTTTGGAAGATCAGGAAAAATGGCCTAAAAATGGAACTCTGAACTATAATACATTGTTACAATTAATGTTGTTTTTGAGGTGGTAGGGAAAATGTATGCAGATATGTTTTTCACGTTGTGAAATCACCCAGAATGGCAAAAAGAATGTGGAATTAATATAGCACCTTCAGATCCTTTAGTTTTAGCATTAGAAAGAGAAAGGAAGCAAGCAGGGAATAGATTGGAAAGATGTTGTTCTGGTTGTGATATTGAGGAAATTTGTTTGAAACTTAAGAAGCGAACTGAGGATAACAGGGTTGAGGATAGAATAGAGGATTACGTTTCCCCAAAAGTACCGGAGCAGAGACCACCTCGGATTGAGGAGGAATCCTCTGATTCAGATGAGGAGCAGGAACAAAGTGTAAAACCAGAACGAAGTGTAAAACCAGAACGAAGTGTAAAATCAGAACAAAGTGTAAAACCAGAACAAAGTGTAAAACCAGAACAAAGTGTAAAACCAGAACAAAGTGTAAAACCAGAACAAAGTGTAAAACCAGAACAAAGTGTAAAACCAGAACAAAGTGTAAAACCAGAACAAAGTGTAAAACCAGAACAAAGTGTAAAACCAGAACAAAGTGTAAAACCAGAACAAAGTGTAAAGCAAATTTCCTCCTCTCCTGTTGCTTCCCGGGTTCGTAGTAAAGCTAAGACTGTTCTGCAAGCTCCTCTGAGGGAAGCAATGGGACCGGGGGGGGGCATACCAAAATAAAAGTGAATTTTTCTCTAGGGGATTTGGATAATTGGAAGCAGATTGCAAAAGAGTATCGAAATGACCCTATAGGGGTAGCAAAGAAATTTGAGATACTGGTAAAAAGCCAGGATCCTGACTGGAAAGATATAGATGTAATCCTGGATGCATTAACAGAGACAGAAAAACAACTGGTTATAAAAACTGCTTGTACTCAGGTAAATGCTCAGATTACTGCAGGGGCGATAGAGGGGAGGGCTGAAGATCATATTCCCCTCTCAGCTCCAAATTGGGACTACGATGATGATAAAGATTATGCATCTTTGAAAAGATATCAGAATTGGATTAAATATGGGCTTGAAAATGCTATACCTAAAACGGTAAATTGGTCAGTGCTGTTTGAAATAAGACAGGGGCCGAAGGAGTCACCGACAGAGTTTCTGGATAAATTCAGAGGAGCTATGCAAAAATGCACCACACCGAATCCTTCCTCAGAGAAAGGAAAATTACAGCTTGCAAATTCCTTTGTGGGGCAGTCATCGGAGGGTATCAGGCGAAAGCTTCAAAAGTTATCTGTGACTGAAATAAAGGATATGGAAAAGTTGCTGGAAGTGGCTTGGAAAGTATACAGGAATAGAGAACAAGTTAAAGATATTAGGAAAGGTTGTAACAACAGCTGCGATTGCAGCACTGGGGCAAGTGAATGAGGGATATAGTGGAATGAGAGGTCGTGGCCAAGGAATGGGAATGAGAGGCAGAGGTCGTGGCCGAGGCAGAGAGGGGGGTTATAAAAGAACTCCCCTCAGTCAGAATCAATGTGCAAACTGCAGAGGGTTTGGACACTGGAAATGGGAATGTCCGCAGGGAAAACAGACTCAATTGACCACTGAATTGGAATTAGGTTGACGGGGACCTGGGGAATCTACCCTAGCGGATCCACTGGTTAAAATCAGGCTAGGGGCCACAGAGAAAGAAGTGGAATTTCTTATAGATACTGGGGCAACTTATTCTGTTTTGAACCAAGATTTGACATTAAAAGGAAAAGAGTCTGTAATGGTTGTGGGAGCTACTGGCCGTCAGGAAAAAGCATTCTTTCTAAAACCTTTAAAATACAAGATAGGAAAACAAATTGGGGTACATAAATTTCTATATATGCCAAATTCACCCAAATCATTATTGGGAAGAGATTTATTAGAACATTTGGAGGCAATTATAACATTTAAAAGAGGCGAAATAGAACTAAAAGTAAAAGAGGACCAATTAATTGAAGCTATGAGTGTGTCATTAATTCAACAGGAAATCGAGAAGTCCAGTTCACCCGAAGTAGAAGAAACCCTCAATCAGGTATATCCAGGAGTTTGGGCATCAGAAATTCCAGGTAAGGCAAAGAATGCTTTGCCTATTAAAATTGAAATAGAAAGGGGGGCCTGCCCAGTTCGAATAAAACAGTATCCTCTAAGAATACAAGATAGAAGGGGAATTAAAGAAATAATTGATAAATTTTTAAGATATGGGTTATTAGTGGAATGTGAATCGGAGTGTAACACTCCTATTTTACCAGTAAAGAAAGCAGATGGGAAAAGCTATAGGCTAGTTCAAGATTTGAGGGCAATAAATAAAATAGTGGAGGACATCCACCCTGTGGTGGCTAATCCATGTACATTATTGACCAAACTAAAATTAAATCAGAAATGGTTTGCCGTCCTGGATTTAAAGGAC